GGCTGGATACTTTCTTTCCACAGTCCCATGTTGAAGTTGTTGAGAATTTGATATTCACTTAAAGAGAAAGTACCTAAAATAAATTCTGCACCTCAAATGGACCCTGTCCTTTAGGAGCCCTGGTAAGCCAGACAGTGTGAACAAAAACCTCTCACTGTCTGGGACCTTTTAAAAAAGAGCTGCTGATAATTTAACATTTAACTTATCCCCCTTCTGCTGGGGCAATCCTTCCCCAATTCATATTTTTGCAGTCTTTACATTCCAGGGTTAGCTGGAGATTTTAGTACCCGAGTCTGATCTTTTCCTCATTACTGAAGAGGAGATTTCTGACAAATGAAAAAACCCACCCAAATATCAAAAAAGACCATCTGCAACAATCTTGCTTTGCTATAGATGCAATGAAGTCTAAACATGAAGAGAAAAAAAAAAAAAGACAAAGCAAAACAAAACCTTGCAGCACTGCACTTCAAGGACATATCACAATGCAGGCTCTATCAAAAATCTTACCATGAGCAGTTGATGAGGAGAGGGAGGGGAAAGACAGCAACCATTTTCTTGCTGAACTAAAAAGACAAGAGAAAATTTTTGATAAGGCCCAGTAAGGCTGCTCTAGAAAGGTCGAATCTGCGGGGTAGGGAAACTCAGCACTTGTGGCCTTGTGCCTGGAAAGTGACCTACACCAGCCCAGCTGACAGGCAGCTAGGAAGCTGAAGATCAGTGATTCACGTGAAATTCTAACAAAATTTAAACTGCAAATTGGACAAAGGCAAAGCAAAAATAAAATAAATAAAAAAAAATCAACTACCTTTTGAGTCTGCATCATATCAGCATTTTGGGTCTTTCCAGAGCAAATCGTCAGTCAACTATGAAAACTTAGGTGGGCTGTTTGTGTGAGACACGTTACTCTTTGTTACAGAGTAAGCTGAAACCACAAGACTCATTTCACTCAGAACCTCAAAATATACCCAACGCTACGCGACTCCGCCAAAACCCTGCAACATTCCCATTCTAATATGGAGGGTTTAAACTTTAAAAAAAAATCCCTATTACAAGCATGCCCCGGGTTCCCCAAACCATTATCCTCTTGAGAAGAAAGTAACATAAATGACGTATTTGCCCTCTAGTTTCTGTGGCAGCAGGTTGTAACCTGAGCACGTTTTCCAGTTTTTCCCCCACACAAATCCATGTCTTCTTATTTTCTGCTGCTGTTCTGAGCAGGACCAGGTGAGCCCACACCCTCACCACCACGGAGTGATGATGCCAAGCCAGAAAGAGAGAAAATAAACCGCTGTCAGATATACTCTTCCTTCTGCCCACAGAAGCCAATATCCAACAAGAACCAGCACCGCTGCGACCGCCCATGTTACCCACTTCATCCTCCCGGCTGGGCTGGACCACACGCTACCTAGTGACACACATGCAATGGCAGCAGCAAGGACATGATGGCGTAAAAGCCCATTCTCAGCATCTCCAGAGCTAAGGGGAAATAATCCCCCAAGCTCTACAGGATAACTTGGCACATAAATAAATGTATGCTGCTCAAAAGCAAATTCAATGGATCTCTTAAATCTGTTTGGTTTCAAGCAAAGAGTTAAAGAACAAACCAAAACTGATAAAATTCTTGCTACCTTTCTTTAAACCACGCTCAGACCTACTCTTTGAAGGAAGAGCCGCCTTTCTTAAAATATATTTGAATGCGCTATTTTTGTCTTTATCTTAGAAGGCCTGATTTCCCCTCACAGCCCTGCAATTGGTTACAATAACGGGTTTCTCAGAGCCAGACAAGTTAAGAAGAGGTTTTATAACTTCATATGCAGCAAAATGTATGGAATTTGCTGCCTTCATTTTTTTAGTTTCAAGTGCAGCTCCCTCACTCCCCACCCTACAAATACTCACACATGCAGTAACACTACTCTTCTAAGCCGTGTCATGGAAGTCAGCGCTTCTGACCACTCGTGCTTCTCACCTTAGGTAAATAACCAAGCGGGTGGCAGCCACACCAGGCAGAATTTACATGTGCACTTAAAGATGCTTCTGCCTACATCTTACAGGTGGAGGAGAGGCAAAAGGATCCCTTAATTTTAGGGACAGAAAAAATTATAATTCTGATGATAATTTTTCATTGGAAGCTATGCGGCTTCAAAAAAATGCAAGAGGAGGAAACAAATTGTTTCCATATCAACGATTATTTTGTATCTATCAAACACTGCTTGCTTTTTTTAAAAAAAGCACTTATTTTTAAGGAAGCTGAAATGAAACTGCCTTATCTCACAAGTTATTATGACACATCATAAGGAGACACAACCTTCCAGCACCAGAATCTCACAATGACACTATGGATCCCAGGGCCCTTCTTCTACTACTGTCCTATTACGGTATTGGAAAAGGGAGAAAAGAGACTTCTTGAACACTTTGCTGAGTGAGTTTTTAAGCGACATATTCCCCACTTGATTAGAACAAACAAACAAAAATAAAATAAGATGAAAATATTGACAGCAAAATATTATCTCACTGCTTTAAGAGACCTACAGTACATTCCAGGACTGCTGCTCTTATATTTTGCTCATACTCCCTGCCAGATCCCAAGTTACAAGCTCAATTTACAATGACAAGCCTCACTATATCCCTGGAAGAATTAAATGACCAGAAGAAGAGAAGTAATAAGAGTTCTGAGTTTATAATCTAGGAATTCTTTTTTCCTACCTAGGCTAGTTGAATGCTACCCAAAAGCGAAACGAACCTGAAGTGAGGACTCGCTTTATGCTTTTAAATGCATACTGGAGTATTCTCAGAGGCGGGTCATCAGCAGTAACATAAAGGTCAAGAAAATTAAATGGATAAGACACGGAGACTTTTTCAGTCTACCTAAATACAACATGAGTTAATGTTAGGTAGAGAGGTTAGTCACGCTGCGGTTTATTTATGCTCACGTTGGCCCATGCGGGAGCGATGTAAACACTAGAGGCAGGACGGCTACCAAGCTACCCCCTGGCCTCATCCCTCTCCCCGAGGGGAGGGATGCCAACAGCAGAACATAACGTTAATAGCAGCGTGATTAAGCTCTGGCTTTATCATTTCACCAAGAGGCCGATTCTCCACTCTTCACTCAGGCCAACTTCCACAGCGAAGGGCATTACTTGTATTTGAGCTTTTTTGGCTTTTCAGGATACACTGGTTTGACTACCATGTCGACGGTGCTGCTCAGTTCCTTGCTGGAGTCTCCCAACTTCAGAAACACAAGCTGCTTATCAGTGGTAGTAGAACAGATCACAAGAGCATTTATTTGTGCCAAAACTTTTGAGTAGGGTATATTTAAGCCTTAAATTTTTCCAAAGTGTATCAGACTACCAGCTATAGAAGAAAAATGCATACAACGCATTTTCTTCATATGAAAAATCACTTATCTAAATTCTAAACAAATATATTTGCTTCAAGCAAAGCTGCATAGCTTAACTTCCATGCCACATACACATGCATAGAGCATTGATGAAGCAGCACGTTTGTTGTTAAATGTGTGCCTTGGACATGCCTTAGGAAAAAAGCTAACACACCAACCAGGGCACATAATGCCCCGTCACTTCAGCGGGTAACAAAGTGAAATGGGTTATTTCCAGATAGATGCGTCTTAATAAGGAAATGGCTCCATTCTGATCCAATTTAACATCTGGACAAGACCACCAAGTAGATAAGCGATTACAGCAAACAGCTGCCCATACCTATACCGCATGCAGGACGGTTCACGCATACGATGACATTATACGGCTGGGTCACTTCACCGTGATACGGGACCCTGACCAAGGGCAGGGGGCAGGTCCCTGGGGGAGCTCTGCGGGCCAGTGCCCCAGGCAGGAGGGGTACAGGCGGCAGGGGGGCCCCGCCGAGCAGCCCGGCAGGCCAGGCCCAAGCTTGCCAGGTGAACTCTCCCCTCCTCCCATACTTACAGTAAAATTACAGCTGTCAAAGACATAAAACGTCACCCCCAGCGATTACCTGCTTAAAACATTAATCACGCAGTTAAGCACTTTGCGACGTTTTCCATGCTTTAGTTACGGATCATCATATTTATTTCGCTGCTATCATACTGGTCTGTAAAAATCTATGAACCAACAACTAACCACTTGACTCACGACCTGTGTTGATGCACCGGGACAGCAGGTACGGGTCAGATTTTACTGGGCAAAGGTATTAACCCTGCTAAGTTTACATCTCGAAGAGCCAAGCCGGCTAGTTGATTGGCAGACGTGAAAACCGCTCTGTAAAGTCAGCAGAAGGATGAGTAGGCATTATCCATTTATTAACTGGTTAACTGCCAATTAATTTTACTTGCAAATCGCCTCTCTGGTATTTAAACATCTGGCTAAGAGTTCTTGCTCGTTACCCCCCGTATTTCGACGGGCCAGCAAAACGAAGCGCTTCTGTGCCCCGCCGCGCGTTCCGCTCCCGCGGAAGCGAAGGAGAAATCCACGTTTCTCCAACAGAAGTTCGCACCCAGCGGAGCCGCCCGGCCGCAGGGAAGGGCTCCGAAGCCCAGCCCCGGACCGCCTCGTTGCTAACACCGACTGATACCGAGACCCGGCCGACCGCGCTGCCGGCAGCCGCGGGGCGGGGGCGGGCAGGGAGAAGTCACGCGTGGGCCGGCCACTCGTGCCAGGGGCCGTGACGGGGACGGCGGGACCGCCGCTCGGACAACTTCCGCGGCAAGCCCCGCCGAGCCGGCCTTCCCCGCCTCCACTCCACTCCCCTCCGCGGCACGGCACGGC